TTTTTTTAATGTATTTAACTGTCAAGAGGCTTATGCCATGAAATAGTTGTTGCACGTTTTCAAATAGCTTGTGTTTAAATTATTAGCCAATATTGTATGACTAAAAAGGACAGATATAATTATGCAAACTGAAAATAATGAAATGTGAAAATGTTTTATTTATTTACTTTTGTAGCTCACGACTGTCACAAAGTGACATAATGAGCTTTTGTGATCGCTTTACATCCGGCGTCCATCCGGCATCTGTCTGTCAGTAAACTTTTACTGTAAACGACATCTCTTCATAAACCACCAAGCCAATTTCATCCAAACTTCATAGGAATGTTCCATTGGTAGTCAACTTTGAAAATTTAATTACAAGCAGAACTCAGGTTGCCATGGCAACAGAAAGAAAAAAGTTAAAATATCTTCTTTAATAAAACCAAAAGAGCTAAAGCTTAAATATTTGGCATGAAACATTATATAGTTAGTGTCTACCAAGTTTGTTCAAATAAATGCCCTGGGGTCAAAACTGGCCCTGCCCACCCACCCGGGGAGTGAGGTGGGGGGTCCTTGATTTTCCTTATTTGTAAAAACTTAAAAAATCTTCTTTAGAAAAAAACCCAAATAGCTAGAGCTTAGATATTAAGCATGAAACATCCTCTAGTGGGTGTCTTCCAAGTTTGTTCAAATAAAAGCCCGGGGGGGAAAAAATGGCCCGCCCTAGAGGGTCTTATGTATATAGTAAAAACTTTAAAAAATCTTCCTTTAAAAACCCCAAAGAGCTAGAACTAAGATATTAAGCATGAAACATCTTCTAATTGGTGTCTACCAAGTTTGTTCAAATAAGGGCCCTTGGGTTAAAATTTGCCCCGCCTCGGGGGTCATTGAATTTTCTTATATGTGTATAGTAAAAAAATTTGTAAGCTCACATGTCACAAAATGACAAGGTGAGCTTTTTTGATCACAATTCGTCTAACGTCCATCAGTAAACTTTTACTTTAGACTTTAAACTTTTTTTTTTACTTTTCTCCTGATAAACCACTTAGCCAATTTCATCCAAGCTTCACAGGAATGTATCTTTAGTGGTTACCTTTAAAACAGGGTTCTCACTAGGACTTTAAAACATGGAGTCCATGGACTCCCAACCCTGAAAAAGTTGGAGTCCAAAAGCGCGTCGCAATTAATATGTTTACAGATTAGTCATTCAATGCTCACAATAGCATTGCTGATATTTTGAATCTTCAAAAGACTTCCAAAGTTTATAGTTATTCAAAAGAAACTCTGAAGCCTACATAGTATAATTATTGTTTTGTTGTTAATATTTATTATGAAATTATCTTATTATAATGCATCAACACATGGAAATCGTTTTTTGTTGTTTTTTTTTCCCACTTTTATATCCAAATTAAATTTTATTTCTGGTTAAATAAGTCCACTCTAAAGACAAAAAGTTATATTTGTAAAAAAACAACGTAAATGTATATAGGCAGCGTTTAGCGGAATGAATAGGAAAATCGTGTACAGCTTCACACAGTGTGTAAGAGATTCATCCGATCGACAATTATTTTAGCAAATATCTTTAAAAAGGGGCAAATTGAAGATCGATATTTAAAGATTTAATGTTGATTAAATATTAAAGGAACAATTCATTCGCATGTTTTGGCTTGGACGATAATTTTTGCGAATTTTTAGGGTTTTCTGCGCGAACATGAAATCGCCGATGTTCGGACCAATATTCGGGGGTTAGAATCTAAAATATAACCGAAAAAGCGTATGTGTATTTTGGTGTTGTGTGCTTGCCTGGCCATTTCGGCACAATATTCTTAAATTCTTAATGACTCTTATAAAAGTTTTTGCAAGAATTAAACTAAAGCAAAATTCGTGCGTAGAAAATGCCGAAAATATTCGGCACAATCATTCAAAATTCACACTCATTATTTAATTTAAGAAAACAGTCTTTTAAACTTGCGGCTAAATTAGTCGATAATCTTATCCTTTTTCGGTAAAATTGCTTAATTTTCCAATTCAAACCTGATTATCAAAAGATATAAAATTATCACCTCGTGTTATATCTGGTAATTACATGTACTATACAGCGAGTGTATACATTTAGATCACTATGCGTGACAATGATCGGAAGCGTTATCACTGATTGGCTAATCGCTTCACGGGTCGATGTGCATAGGACCGCCTACCTATAGACTGACACGCGCTGACGCATTTGTGTATTTGCGGTTGTAAACAATCGGTAATGTTTATGCGTCCCAGGCAAAATTAAGCGTACATGGAATCCTTGCTCTGAAATATTTGCGTCCAGCTGTAATAAACATGCGTACCGGGACGACGAAATAAGCGTCCCCGAGAACCCTGTTAAAAGTGGTTCAAAGAATTCAATTTCATACAGAACTGTGATTGCCATGTCAACCGAAGGAAAAAAAGTTGAAAAAAATCTTTTAAAAAACCCAAAAAGCTAGAACATTAATATTTGGCATGAAACATTTTCAACTGAGTGTCTACCAACTTTGTTCAAATAAAAGTCCAGGGGTCAAAATTGGCTCTGCCCTAGGTTCATGTATATTGCAAAACCTTAAAAAATCTTCTTTCAAAAAACCCAAAGAGCTAGAGTTTAGATACTAAGCATGAAATATCTTCTAGTGAGTGTTAACCAAGTTTGTTGAAATAAAAGCCCTGGGGTCAAAATTGGCCCCTCCCAGGTGGGGGGGGGGGGGCATTGTTTTCCCTACTACATGTAGTAAAAACTTAAATAACCTTCTTATTAAAACCCCAAAGAGCTAAAGCTTAGATATTTATCATGAAACATTTTCTAATTGGTGTCTACCAAGTTTGTTTCAAATAAAAGCCCCTGGTTTAAAATTGGCCTTCGCCCAGGGGCCTATATACCATTGGGATAAATTTAATGAAATACCTGGGTTGTTCCTAGCATGAAGCTCTACTAAAACTGGTCAATGGTTCTGCTCCATTGAACATCTGGGTCAAAAGGCTAAAATAAATTTTGAAATGAAATCTTTAAAACTCTTTTTGAAAGTACAAGGCCTAGAGCTAAGATATTTTGTGTAAAGCATCATCTAATGAAACTCTACAAAAATTGATATTCTAACACGACCCGCATTTTTCCCTATTGAACATAGAAGAACAGAAAGTGTGTGTTATTATGCAACAGATGCACAGTTTGACTTTCTATATTTAGACATGTGACGTAGTCATTACACACGTGCCGTAACCACTAAAAATCCGACGCGCTGAAAATAAGTTCGGAAACAAATCAGGCGCCAATTTTGCTTAACTATCAAGTACCGCAACTTTTATTTGTTAATGTCGTGTTAGAATCGAAATAATATATCCAAAATCAGTGATTTTATCGCTTGATAACATCACTGTTTGTCGTTCGGATGCGCATTCATTATATCACTCGGGCTACGCCCTCGTGATATAATTCCTCGCATCCGAACTCCAAACAGTGATGTTATTGAGCGATAAAATCACTGTTTGGGATATATTATTTTCTTAAAATATCATAGCCCTGGGAACAAAATTGACCTTGCCCCACAGGGTCATTGATTTTCCTTATAAGTATATAGTAGAATCTTTAAATATCATCTTTTCTGAATTAACAGAGGCTTAACATGAAACATTGTGTAGGAAAAAAATCTTATTTTCAGAAGATATATGAAGGCTTAGAGCTTTGATATTTGGTAAATGATATCATCTATAAGTCCTCAAAACTTGTTCAAAGTTTGCCTCTGGTGTCAAAATTTGCACCATCCTAGGGACCATAGGTTTCAGTGATAGGTCTTCCTCAAATGTTACCTTGACATTTTACAGACATTGACTGTAAATGTCAAATTTGAGTTATATTTTGTACAAGAAAATGAGGATTACTAGTAATCTTGACATGTTTGGCTATTATCTAAGATTTATGAAAAAGTCGAGCTAAAAAGAGGGTTCCACTAGGCAGTGGATCTTATTGTATATGTACTTGTTAAATTCACATAAACTAGATAATTTCATATTTTTTTATGTATTAATTTACATTTTCAGGTTAAAAGACCTTACATATACCCAAAGCAACATACAGAAAGATAGACTTATAATGCGTAAAGGAAAAGGAAACCCATGCATCAGAATGTTAGATGATTCTGTGACAAGATTTTTGCTGTCTTTCTTTATTTGTCTTGCTCTCCGTTGTGGAAAATACATCAGTTTCATATACTCTTCAGTATAAAATACAATCCTTAAGTCATGGATAAAACTGGAAAGACTAGTGAAATGAATTTAAGTAATGAGGGCCAAAATAGGAACTCTAAAGAACTTGAGGAAAGTAAAATTACACTAGAGCAGCAAACTGAAAGACCTCTAAATCATTTAGAAAGTCCAAGTGTAAAAGAATGCAGTGGTGGTGGTGATATAAATAATGAAGATTTTAATGCTTTAGGGGTCCACCAGGTTGAGTTCGGTGCAACAGGTGTTTGCCCTCGTAGCCAGTCCAAGCAACAGGAAGAGACTGGTCATGTATCCAGGAACTTGGAACATTCTGAAGGTAATACTTCATTTCAATGCTGTCAGCCTGTATGTTCCATATTGAAGGGTGAGAATGACAGCCATGTGGAGCAAATGAATGGCAATGTGGAAGAATCTGAAATGGATGCCTTGAAAGGTCGAGATTCAGATGAAATTTTGGAGCTTACTGTAAATGAGTCTGAAAAAGATCATAAATACGTTTATTTAAGAATGAGATATTTAATGTTTTCGTTTTTCAAAGGGAACACCAAGTGTTTAGAGAAAATTGACAAACGTGCATCAATTCTTTATGGATACATCCATCCAACAAAACCTATCATTGATCTTTGGGCAGTAAGAATAAGTGTTTCATTTATACCAGCAGAAGCAAGGGAAGAAGCTTACAGATTTGGTACATTCTGCTTGAGAGTTGATCTAGAAAGAGGTATCAGTATTTTATTAGCCAGAGAAGGGTTTTTCTGTAACAATAATTCAGATATAATTTGTGCTTTCTGTGGACGCTCATTACAGCAGTATCATCTACGTCTTGGAGACAGACATTTGAATGTCTTCCTGGAAAGGCATAGACATATCTGTAATTTAGCTCATAACATTTCAATGGCTATCTATGGAATTAACCTTGCACATCATGTGCAAGTTATGCAAGGAAACCATGATAGTTTATGTGTCTCAGGAAGCCATTACCAACAGCAGGGAGTATGTACATATGCTCAACAGATACGTAGACCTTTTTCAAATATTGTTCCCTCCGGAACAATTAACAATGAAACTCAACGATTCCTTCCATGGCCAAACCTAGTTGAGCATCAAAGAATGGATGGAAACAATAGCATTCCAAGAAATGCAGATGCTGTGCAAATGGAAAATCAAGAGTCTAATCCACGTCAGGATCAATCAACAACAGAACACTTGGCAAAGGTAAATATATAGAGGATATTTGTTTGTTTGTGTGTAAGATGAAATTTTATTTCATCGAGTGGGCTTTAAAAACAGTATTCTCACGAGTGGCGTAGCCACGAGTGAGAATACTGTTTTTAAAGTTCACGAGATGAAATAAAATTACATCTTACACAACAAACAGACAAATTTTCTTTTTATTTTATGCTTTAAAACAAGTTAAAACGAAATTTCCATAATTTTAACGTTGATATTAAAATCTGTTTCCCCCATTGAGAGCCCCATTTAGAGGGAATTTCTCATTAAAAACAAAGACAGAAGTCTTGAGCTGAAAAATAAGTCCGCCAATGGAGGTTAAATGAATGTGATATTTATTCATTTTATTAAAAAATATGAATGATCGCTTGTTTTGATAATAAAACAAAACAATTCTTGTAGGAGAAAAAGTCCAACCATCCATCCATATTTCTGTTACTTACTGCGAATTTATATTAGACCTGGCTTTGTAAAATGTAAACGGCAGCCATTTTTAAAGTCGTGTATTTCATGGGAGGAAAATAATTGTGTAAGATACAGAAGGATATAATTGGATTTGTTAGTCATACACCTTTTTAAAAGAAAGAAAACTTATTTGAGGATTGTAACAGACAAAAAATAAGTGTTGGCAGAAGTGAAAACATTCAGAAAAGGAGCTAGGAAAATGGAAAACTTGGAATCTTGCTAAGGCATTGTAAGGAACGCTGGGTTGATTTACTTATTTTACGAGTGATAGCTGTCAATGCTTTTCAATTTTTCATAAAGCATACGGCAGTTATTGCTGGTAGGATACTTTAATATGCCCAAATGTCATCAAGAGCAGTTTTGCATGGGGAAGGAATGTATTTTTCAGACTGTAAAAACGAAACAAAAAAATTTAGAGACGAAATTTTGTGATTGGAATTTGAAGGAATAGAAGTAAGTTTTCTCTCTTTATTACTTTTGACATTTATGTTATTTAATTATTTCAGCTTTGCTATTTTTTTAACAGCCTGATATTGTCAGAATTGTCAGTAAAAATAGAATTGAGGTACCACATGGGGAAAATCTTAAAAAAGTAGTTTCGTCATTGAAAAAAGTGAAATTATATTTTGATAATTTTCACTGTGAAATTATCAAATATAATTTTCACGGATAAATCAGTAATCCACTGAAAAGCATAAAATAAAGCAAGTTACTAGTGTAAGTACTGTCTTGGCAACTTAATAAAAGCATAAACTATTTAATATTACCACTTAATTTTGATAGCCTGTCAAACTGTCTTTCAAATTCACTGCCTGATTTTTTAGTGCCTATGATACACATTGTATATTGTGCAATTGATGCATAATTAGCTGCTAACAGAAAGTTGTTAAATTAGTTAAATTGGTACCATTTTTTTGTCATGGTAGGCCTGTATGGTGTATGAATTTAATATGTTTACAGAATAGGATCCTGATTGATTATAAGTTAAAATTGATAGTGAGCTTTTGATATATATATATATTTTTTTTTCAGACAACAAAATCTGGTGCTCCTGCCACTACTGTTCAAGGATCAGCAACATTACAGGCAGATTGTTGTAAATATTCTTTTTTTTTGCTCTTAAATTCTTTGCTTACAAAATGCTAATGTTGGCTACTCTTCTGATATTTGCCATGTGCCAGAATTTTTAAAGTAGTTTCAAGTGTATAAACAAATTTTGATGAAGATATTCACATGAAGCTTAATGTACATCACTTTGAGATCATTGAGGTCAAGGTCAAGGCCCATTACGTTAGCATAGACTTTGAATTATAGCCCTTTTTATTCAGAAAATTCTGGGATCAAGTCTTGCTGAAGGTATTGAAACTTAATACATTTGTACAAGTCTTTGGGATCATAACCAGAGGTCACTATCCAAAGCCTATAATTCTGACAGGAATTTTGACTGAATTATGGCCATTTTTGAATTACGAAAATTCTGGTCCATTTTTTTCCCCAGCAACATCAATCTTTATAACTATTAAAAGTATTCACATAAAATTTACAGCATATCTTGAGGGTTCAAAGTGGAGGTCATTATTCAAAGATGTTACAGATTTGTCTGGTTAATTGTCCTCTGTGAATTATTAATCTTTTGTATCATATACTTATCTAAGAATAAACATATATTTATCTTCTCTTTAGTTTAATCTAATATTACCTAAAGTTATGTTTTATCATGTAGAAATGTAGTCTTTGACTGCTAGTACTAAATTAAATAATTTATAACAACTAGACAGTTGTAATGCAAATCAAGCCATTCTAATTCTTATTTGCTAAAAAGTCAACAGAGTTATAAACGGCTAGGCCATCCTTAAAAAAATGTTTGTTTGCAGTAACGCGACATACTCACAAAATTTGCCCCCACTCAAAATATTTTTTCATGGTCTGGATAAAAAAAAAAAATTTGAATCAGAAAATTATGCCTTGTGCTTTGTTATGCTCCCCGAAAAAATTTCGGGGGAGCATATAGTCGCCGCCTTGTCCGTCCGTCCGTTCGTCTTTCCGTCCGTCCGTCCGTCCCCTTTTCTTGTCCGGGACATAACTTTGAAACAACAAGAGGTACCAACATGAAACTTTGTAGGTAGATAGATCTCATTAAGGAAGTGTGCAGTGCACAAGAACCGTAACTCTGCCTTGCCTAATTTTTGAATTATCCCCCTTTGTTTATTTTACACTTTGAACTTTGTCCGGGACATAACTCTAAAAGTATAAGAGGTATCAACATGAAACTTTGTAGGTAGATAGATCTCATTAAGTAGGTGTGCAGTGCACAAGAACCGTAACTCTGCCTTGCCTAATTTTTGAATTACCCCCCTTTGTTTATTTTACACTTTGAAATTTGTCCGGGACATAACTCTAAATGTATAAGAGGTATCAACATGAAACTTTGTAGGTAGATATATCTCATTGAGTAAAAGTGCAGTGCACAAGAACCGTAACTCTGCCTTGCCTTATTTTTGAATTATCCCCCTTTGTTTATTTTACACTTTGAACTTTGTCCGGGACATAACTCTAAAAGTATAAGAGGTATCAACATGAAACTTTGTAGGTAGATAGATCTCATTGAGTAGGTGTGCAGTGCACAAGAACCTTAACTCTGCCTTGCCTAATTTTTGAATTATCCCCCTTTGTTTATTTTACACTTTGAAATTTGTCCAGGACATAACTCTAAAAGTATAAGAGGTATCAACATGAAACTTTGTAGGTAGATAGATCTCATTGAGTAGGTATGCAGTGCACAAGAACCTTAACTCTGCCTTGTCTAATTTTAGAATTATCCCCCTTTGTTTATTTTACACTTTGAACTTTGTCCGGGACATAACTCTAAAAGTATAAGAGGTATCAACATGAAGCTTTGTAGGTAGATAGATCTCATTGAGTAGGTGTGCAGTGCACAAGAACCTTAACTCTGCCTTGCCTAATTTTTGAATTATCCCCCTTTGTTTATTTTTACACTTTGAACTTTGTCCGGGACATATTTCTTAAGGTAGACCATGGGTAATGGGCACCATAAAGAACTGTAAAATTGACAACATAGGACAGTTATATGTCTTCAAGGTCACCTGTATGCAAAATTTAAATAAAATTTACCGTGTGGTTTATGAGTTATGGATATATTTCTGAACTAAGACCTTGCCATTTGAAGGGCTTATTTTCAGAAATGAGGAAACTGTAAATAATCTGTAATATCATCATTATAAAAAATGTTTTTCTATTGCTCATTGTTAAGAAACAAATAATAACATTCAAGTAACACATTACACAACCAAAATGTTTGGTTCTAAACAAAATGTTCTTAAAATGTATAAAAATGTAACCCTACCCCACCCACTTTTAACACTAATTTTACCATTTCCCTATCTAAAATGCCTTATTCAAAATATCCCTAAAATTTATCGAAATGAGGGTCTGTTTTCAAACTTTGCCTAAATTTTTTCAAAGGTATATTAGTTGATCATGCGAAATATAAAATACTTTTACCGTGTAGTTTTTATTTTATCGAACTTTGAAAATATCTGGTATCATATTTGTTATAAATTTTGGCATTATTTAACCAAAAAAATACCTAAAATAATTATATAATTAAAATCAAACTTTTTTTCTTCCATAAGGGATCAAAGAGATACATAAAAAATGTTAAAAAGAAAAAAAAGAAAGAAAAAAAAAGTTGCCCCTTCTGGGGTTTGAACCCACGCCCCTCAATTTCAATGTAGTTTACAAGCGATTCTAGCCTATTTGAATACTCTTCAAAGTGGAGGTAATGCATTACCCATGGTCTACCTTAATGTATAAGAGATATCAACATGAAACTTTGTAGGTAGATAGATCTCATTGAGTAAGTTTGCAGTGCACAAGAACTGTAACACTGTCTTGCCTACTTTTGGAGTTATTGCCTTTTGTTCATTTTGACACTTTGAACTTTGTCTGGGACATTACTCTAAAATTATAAGAGATATCAACATGAAACTTTGTAGATAGATAGGTCTCATTGGGTGGAAGTGCAGTGCTTAAGAATCATTACTCTGCCTTGCCTTATTTTGAAGTAATTGCCCTTTGTTTATTTTTACTTTTTGACTTTTGTCCTGGACATTACTTTAAAACTATTAGAGATATCAACATGAAACTTTGTAGGTAGCTAGATATAATTGGATAGAACTGCAACGCTTCAAGAACCTTAACAAAGCCTGGTCTAATTTTGGAGTTATTGCCCTTTGTTCATTTTTTTTATACTTTCCTGTGTCCAGAACCTTCTCGGGGAGCATCACCCGGTTCAACCGGTTCTTGTTTTGTTCTGTTAAAGGTTAGTAGAAGAAACAAAATGTAGGTCTTATTAAATTAGAATTTTGTTATCAATTTATTAATTGTTACCAGATTATCAAAGCATATATTGTCCAGCATTTTGAAATTCCATGTTTATTTGGGAGTACACTTCAATAAAAAAAAATCAACCTACCTACCCACCTTTAAAATTCTGGGTCGGGTTACTGCAAACAAACATTTTTTTAAGGATGGTCCTATTAAAATAATTTTACTTTCTTTATACTTTTACAGTTATGACAGGAGCTACTGGTACTTCAGCTGATCTACCAAGTTCTCAAAGTGAAAGGGATAGAGTTACAAGAGTAAGTCGAAGATGTGTGAGATATGTTGACTTAGAACATGCCGTGGCAACCAAAGTTCTGCATGGAAACAATTTTTAAAGGTGACATTCCTGTGAAGTTTGGATGAAATTGAATTAGTGGTTTATGAGGAGATGTTTAAAGTAAAATTTTACGGGTTTACGGAACTCTTGTTGAAATAAAAGCCATTGGGTTGAAATTGGCTCTCTCTCTCCCCCCCCCACGGTAGTCATTCATTTTCCTTAAATGTATAAGGTAAAAACTTTAAAAATCTTCTTTCAAATAACCCAAAGAGCTAGAGCTTAGATATTTAGCGTAAAACATCCTCTAGTTGGGGTCGGCCAAATTTGTTCAAGTAAAACCCTGGGGCCAAAATTGGCGCCCTAAATGGGGTTATTGATTTTCCTAATGTGTTTATAGTAAAAACTTTAAAAAAAAACCAAAAACCCAAAGCAAGCCTTTCCCAGGGGCTTTAAGCATCATGGTCCTGCTGTGCTTTAATTTCCAAATCTAACCGCTGTGCCTTAAAAATCACCTCGGTGCTCTTGTGATCACAATTCGTCCAGCATCTGTTCTTCAGTTGTCCGTCCGTAAACTTTTACTTTAAACAACATCTCCTCATAAACCACAAAGCCAACTGCACAAGTGGTCACCTTTAAAAATTGTTCTAAGAATTTGATTCCATGCAGAACTCTGGTTGCCATGGCAACCGAAAGAATAAACTTAAATAATCTTCTTTTAAAAAATCCAAAGTGCTAGAGCTAAGACATTTCGCGTGAGACATCTTCAAGTGGATGTCTACTAATTTCGTTTAAATAAAAGCCCTTGGGTCAAAATTGGCCCTGCCCTGGGGTGTCATTGGTTTTCAATATATGTATATAGGAAAAACTTCAATGATCTTCTTTTAAAAAATCCAAATAGCTAGAGCTTAGATATATTGCATGAAACATCTTCTAGTGAGTGTCTACCAAGTTTGTTCAAATAAAAGTCTTTGTGTCAAAATTGCCCGGCCAGGGGGATGGGATATTGGGGGTTATTGATTTTTCCTTATATGTACCGTATAACTGGTTATTTCTGCAGGTGCAAATTTTTGCGTTTTGGGACTGAAAATGGGTATATTAATTTTGCAAATTTAATTTCTGTGTTTTTCATAAAAATCGTTTATAAAATTTAATTTGTGCATTTTTCTATTAAATTTTTAGGAGTGTCAAGTATAAAAAGTATGTATTTCATATGATAAAATATATCCATTATAGTGCATTTAAAAAAACAAGTTAAAAGCAGAATGTTAAAAATGTATAGTAAAATCTTAAATTTGTAGCTCAGACTTTGGGCAATACTTGCTGTTTCAAAACCTTTATAAATTAACTTTCTGTCTCCTTTAATGTCCATGTGTACCTCATGTATCCACTGTGTCCCAGAGGTTCTCATGTCAACAGGCTTGAGACTGTCGATAGCACATTCAGCTTTAGCCCGTTTCTTAGAAATACATTTAGCATACCAGGATTGAAACTTTGATTTAAGCTTATCTTTTACAATTTTTTTACACAGATAAATCCATGGGCTGAAGCTTGTCAGTGAAATTTGGTAGAACATAAAGAATTTCAATTTGATTTGTGTATTGATTAATTGAACAGGTAAACTAAGGTGACATTTAACTGGGTAAATTGAATATAAAACTACGAAATATTTGCGAATTTAATTTCTGCGGTTGGAAGGGACGCGCAAAATTTTGCAGAAATGAGCTATCTGCAGAAATAACCAGTAATACAGTATATAGGAAAAACTTAAATAAACTTCTTTTAAAAAATCTAAATAGAGCTTATTTATTAAGCATGAAACATTTTCTAGTGAGTGTCTACTAAGTTTGTTCAAATAAAAGTCCTTAGGTAAAAATTGGCCCGGCCGGGTCAGGGGAGGGGGGTGGGGGGGAGTCATTGGTTTTCCTTATATGTATGTAGGAAAAACTTTACAAAAATTTCTTTTAAAAATTCCAAATAGCTAGAGCTTAGATATAAAGCATGAAACATCTTGTTGTGAGTGTCTACAAAGTTTGTTCAAATAAAAGCCCTGGGGTCAAAATTGGCCCTGTCCTAGTGGGTCATTGATTTTCCTTATGTGTATATTAAGTTTAATAATCTTACAATCTTTTTTTAAAAATCCCAAGGAGCTAGAGCTTTGATATTAAGCATTAAACATCTATTTATGGGTGTCCACCAAGTTTGTTCAAATAAGAGCCCTGGGGTCAAAATTGGCCCTGACTGGGTGGGGGGAGGTCATTGATTCTTAAATGTATATATAGTCCGACACCCGGTTATTCGACGACCCTTTATTCAATACCTGGCATTATCCGAAGTAGATCGGCTTTTATCTCTATATAAATTAATAAAAATACAAAGTTTAACGTATTATTCAAAATGCATTATCCGAATACCTACTATTTTTCGAAGTAAAATTTCGGTCCCGATTATATAATTATGAAAGAATTTCACACCTATTATTCAAAGCAAGACTAATTGGTGCAGATCCATTCGCTGACCGTTCGACTTGAGAAAAATTTCCAACAGCCATGCGTGTATTTTGACAATCGTGATAATTGCGCTTAATTACCGAGAATTAAAAATAATGCACCGTGTCGGTTTTTACGGTTATTGATTAAAGTTGACAGCGATAATTTTCATGAATTCTCTATGTGTGCATTTGTCAAAACATCTAAAACATTTGTTTCATTTTCATTAATTGTAACGCTACATGAAAACCATTACTCTAACTGAATATACCAGAATTTAGCTTTAAACACTGTCATAGTGACCACACGGTCATAATGAAGGAGTTTTACGAAACGATACATTATTGTAGAATAAAATGCAAGTATTTATGTCTTCAATATCAGTAAAAAAATTGTTTTACTAATCTTTTCATGAATATTTATTTTTCTTGATTAATTGCTGGAAACAAATGTGTTGCAAACGGGAGTTTTGCTATAATTAGCCAAAGTGCAGTAGTTTTTGTCTATCACCGTATTCGGATTGAAATCGATTATTCGAACCCATCGATTATTCGAAGTAAATTTTCAGTCCCCAGCAATTCGAATAATCGGGGTTGGACTGTAGTAAAAACTTTAAAAATCTTCTTTTACAGGTTAGATATTAGGGATGAAACATTTTCTAGTGATTGTCTACCAAATTTGTTCAAATAAAAGCCCTAGGGTCAAAATTGGCAGGGCACGGGGGTTGTTGGTTTTCCTTATATGTATATAGTGGGAAAAAAATCTTCTTTTAAAAAACCCAAATAGCTAGTGCCTAGATATTAAGCATGAAACATCTTCTAATGGGTGTCTACCAAGTTTATTCAAATAAAAGTTCTGGGGTCAAAATTGGCCCCCAGTGGTTCATTGAATTTCCTGATATGTAAACATCTTTTGGAACTGTTGTTTCCCTTAAGGCCTCAACAGACGGTAGGATTTTGAAGTACAACACCAATTAAAACTAAGATGTACAGACAAATCTTAATGTGTAAAGGCTACTATTTCTTGATTTCGGAAACCTTATGTCTAGATGTAAGGGATAATACATGTTCTATTCGTACCGATTTTTACATACCTCCCACAATGACAGGTAACAGATAACCAAATTATCTCCTGATAATGGGTGTAATGAATGAAATTACAGAACAATTAGGGCTAAAAGGTAAACATAGTAGTAAGATGGGGTAAAAATGATGTTGAAAAACTCTTCAGGAGACCCAAAGTTGTGTTATGTTCAAATCCCAAATTATTCCGAAAATGATTGTCACGGTATTGAATTGTTCTCTAATTAGGGGAGGGGAGGTAGTTTGTAGGCGGCCAGATAGCTTAGTCAGCAGAGCCGCAGTACGGTATTCCGAGGGTCCCAGGTTTGAGTCTCGGTCAGGCTTCACATTAAAAATATATATTTTTTAAATGGAGGCGTTTCAATCATTACTCATGGTGAAAAAAGTATTTAGTGAGTAAAGTATGTAAAGGTTCAATGTAAAGGGATCCTCCTTTTTAGGGGATACCTCAGATGATTCTTACAGTGTAGAATTACCGTCTGAATGCAAGTGTTGTATAGCTTTGAAAATTGTACATCTTATCTCTAATTAGTGCTTTACAACTAAATCCTACCGTCTGTTGAGGCCTTTAGCAATAGCAAAACAGTAATGTTTTTACACATGCACTATTTCAAATACAAATATGAACTTTGTGATATAAGGTTAAGTTTAGATTTTATATCTCCTTTTGTTTATAGTTTACAATATTATTACTTGTTCCTTGTCCTAGGGAGTTTTTATTTCAGCTGAGCAATTTCATGGCTTTCTTGTTAAATATTGCCACAACTTTAAATATATTTTTATTTAACAACATCTAATTGAAGATCTGCATTTATTTATTGTTTCCTTTTAGATGTTGTTTTTACATTACAGGTTGATGATATTGTACAAGCTCTTGTAGGCTCTAGTATTGGGACAACAGTTATTGGTCTTGGATTTACAAGAGGAGACGTTGTAGATGGTATACGGAGACTACTTAGAACTGGAGGTAAATCATTTTTATTGTGTGTCAAACATTAATAAGTGCTTTGGTTACATACCAATATTGAACAGGAAGTCATTGGTTTTCTTGATATGTTATAGTAAACCTTCAAAAACCTCTTCTTTTAGATCCCATGGGCAATTGATATTTTTCCTGAAACATCATCTTATAAATCTTTACCAAGAATGTTCAAGTCATGGCCCCATCAAAATTGGCATGAAACATTATTATGAAACAGCAAGAACAGTTTCAAACCTTTTTTTTGTTCATTATTCCATAGCTTTGAGCTGCTTTATCTTACATCTCTGGCATGTAGCATGCTATAAGAATCTTACACTGGCTGCTTGTGGCACTGGCAGACCGGAATATCTAGCTTGAGGGTAAGCGGTAACGATGCTTTGCCGAGTTTACCCTAAACAGTTACCTGATAGCTAGATATTCCCGTCTGTATCGACAACCAGTGTTTGATTTTTGGCCGGGTTGCACAGGCGGGAGGGGAAAATATTTTCATAACAGTTTTCTCAGCAACTATTTATCACAGCCTCTTGATATTTGGTATACAGCATTAAGACATGGTCCCCTACAGAAGGATTCAAGTTCAGGTCTGTCGCTCATCAACTTCGTATTTACTGACTTAGTTAAATTTAGACATTAATGGTGAATGGCAGGAAATTGATATTTGGTATACAGCATTAAGACATGGTCCCATACAGTGGGATTCCATTTCAGGTCTGTCAGTCATCCACTTTATGTTCACAATGATGAGCAATAATTATTATCCTACTATCTTAGAGTCAGTCTTTCAAATATGTTCCATTTGTAAATTTCAGTGTTTGAAATCTAAATTTGGCATTCATTGAATGAACATTGTTGTCCTCTTGTTAGAGTAATAGCTCTTTATATACATTGCTATGCAGAACATTTGTAATTTTAAGGCATTGTAATCAAAAATTAATTTGTATATTTACAGAACGAGTTACTGCTGACAGTATCATTTGCGAGATAACAAAGAGAATGTAAACATTAGCGTTCAATTTTCATGAGGAAATATTTTAACACCTGTGCTTAGAGATCATGATAAAAAACAGTGTATAACATTAAAAGGTAACATAGGACGAGGTGGGAATACATTACTGGGAAAAAGATGGAGATTCATCAATTTAGTAACAGATACATTAAAATAGAGACAAATATCAGTTATACATGGATATATCGATATATACTCCTAATTTCTTGTGTATAATTTACTTTCATATATGTTCTGTTCATACAAATATGTTGTGCCCTGTTCATTTATGTCCTTTGCATTATACTTTCTAACCATTTTTTGTCGTCATTTTCAAAGGTGTATAGATTATTGATCAACAGAAAAATAACAACGATACATCAGTATTGTTTCTGTTAATGATAGCTTATTAGAATAGACTAGGGCTAGGGCTTATATAGACTAGGGCTTCCATTTAGTTACAAAAGTTGGAAGTCAGAGACTGCAAAATGTCTTAAACTTGAAGTCACATTATATAAGAAAAGTAGGAATTGGGTTATATTTTGGAAGTACCAGGCCAAAATCAGAAGTTAATAATGACTCCCAAACTTTCAGTAATGGAGACAATGAAATGAAAAGATGATTTTAATTTTTGATAATTTCGACTGATTTGATACACTTACTATATAATACTCTGTTCTTCACATATATGATCACAGATAAGTATAATTAGAAATCCTCTACTTTCATCTAGTAAATCTACTTCAGGATTTTCCTGATTTATTGGTAATATGTGAAAAGACAGTTCTAAATAATGGCCTAATTCATTCAATCATATAAATATGAATAGCAAGTTTATAGAATGATAATTTGTCAAATAAATGTCATTTCTGTATTTCGAATGTTTATAGAGTGAAATGCCCTAGTAAATTTATATTAGATACTATGTTCTTGTTAATTTAACGTATACAAAGGTATGCAACTATTAGGCCTACATTGCAAGATATGATCATGTAATTGTATAGTAAAGATGCAAATGATGCTGTCTTTCAAATGTTTTAACTATTCTTATATTCTATATGATATTTTTGTAGTGTATAAGTTAGGAAGAATGTCTAACATGAATTGTTTGTTTATAGAGTTAACATCATAGATATAATGCAGAAATATATATTTATAAAATAATTGTAGCATTTCAGTAAGACGATATCTGATAGTTATATAATGGGTATAATAATGTGTTATATAATATGTATAATAATATTCATATCATTGTTAAAGACCTCGTTGTAATTAGCAGACATATCTGAAAGTCATTTAATGACTATAATTATGAACATTGTTAGAGGCCTTGTACTAATTTAGCAGTCATATCGGACAGTTATATAATGACTATAATAATGAACATTGTTAGAGGCCTTGTACTAATTTAGCAGTCATATCGGACAGTTATATAATGACTATAATAATGAACATTGTTAGAGGCCTTGTACTAATTTAGCAGTCATATCGGACAGTTATATAATGACTATAATAATGAACATTGTTAGAGGCCTTGTACTAATTTAGCAGTCATATCGGACAGTTATATAATGACTATAATAATGAACATTGTTAGAGGCCTTGTACTAATTTAGCAGTCATATCGGACAGTTATATAATGACTATAATAATGAACATTGTTAGAGGCCTTGTTCTAATTTAGCAGTCATAAGATGACTTTAATTTTTGTTTGGTGTTTACATCACCTGAAGGACCACATGCTCAAGTTTAGCAAATAAGGCTCACTATTTAAATTTATGATTTTAAGTTTACTTTAAAAACTTTATATACTTTTGTTCTCTATCAATTTTTTTAATGATGGGATTGACTTCAGGTTTCAAATTGTTATCATAGTAATGTCTGTTTAAATTTTATTGACATCGTCACAATGCATTTCGATGTGGTGCAAAAATATTAAACATTTAAGTGCCTTATTAATACTGGTGGATATATATATATTTATATCAATATTTGATTTTTTTCGTAGTTTTGTCTTCCTTTTACCAGTATTTTTTATGTCCAGTATTTAATTATTTGACCATCATTGACTCCTCTGACATTTCTTGTTATGTATTTTTTGTAATGTTGAGATATACCATATTTTTATATATTTTGCCATTATGTTCAATTTCAGCATTAATGCAAATTTTTATTGTTTTGGTAAAAACTTGTTTTATCATGATGTCATGTATCATTATTTTTAGTTATTTTTTCAACTTTGTTAATTTCAAGCAGTCTATTTTAAAGAATAATGAGTACTGTTCTACTAATCTCCACCTAAAGCATCAGTACCGGTATTTGTTTAGTTTTTTTGTTAAAATTTAATGTGCTATTTATGTCATACAATAATTCAGATTCAAATTTCCACTGGTGCATTTATGTTTATATTATTTTGATGTTATTGGGTCGCATTAAAGTCGATTTTTTTTACCACAGGCTAACACAGGCTAAAGTTTTGCCTCAATTTATTGTTGCAAGGCTTATATAAATTTTCATTCAGGGCTACCAGTTTAAAAAAATTTGGTCTAGCTTCTTAAGGTTCTTGTTTTGGGCAATGAAGACTGAAATGATGTGATGCCTGCTTCCTCCACCCCTTGTTGCATTTAATGTTTTTTTTTGGGGAAAATTTGAATTACTGACCTTTCCCTTAATGACTTAAGTTCAAAATTTGTTGATGTTAAAGAAATTTCAATTTGAAACATTTCCACAAAAGTTTAAACTTTTTTTTTGGGTTTTTTTAAAAGGGTTTTGTTTAAAATTTTTCAAGGGACCAGGGAACCCGTTTAATTTTTTTTTAAAACCCAAAGTATTTTTTTTGGTTTTTAAAATTTTTTGTTTCCCAAAAAAAAACCCCCAAGGGGATTTTTTTTGTATGACCATATTGGGGTTTCTTAATTTTTTGGTTTTTAACCCCAAAAAAAAAAGGTTTAAAATTCAAATTTTTTAAAAAAAAATAAGGTGATAACAACTAATATATGGTTTGAAATATATGTTGAAAATTTTTTTTATAATTTTTTATTTTTTGAATATACTTTTTGTTTGTAAAAATAAAAAAAACCCTTATTTTAATTTTTTGA